TAGTAGTCGGTTAATAAGTTTGATAACTTTTTCATTTTGGCAAAGTTTCAGTTGTTTGAAATGAACAAAAGCCAGAAACTAACTGCTGACGTGCTTTCCTCCCCACTTCAGTAGTGGTCAGCCAGAACGGGACCATTGGGTGACTCTTCATGTTTCACCTGAAACTTGTGCATCATATTCTGCAGCAACATTATAATGTAGCTCAGATTTTGCTGATGCGACAAAACCAGCTTCCCAGAAGCTTCTTTGGGAAATTATTCCACATTCTTCTTATTTGGCCGATTCTGCGCTTTGAAATTTTCGCTTTTTCCATTTCCTAATGATTTAATTTAATCCAGTAGGTTTCTATATGCGTTGGATCAAAAAACTGCTCATTTGGATGTTGAATGATGCAAATTGTGTTGGGATAATGTATATCGCTGATTTCCTTTTTCTATTTTATGTTCGAATCAAATGAGTCAAAAGTCAAAACCCTCCCCTGTTCGTTCTGCTTAAGAACCAGAGACGCTCAGAAAATAGCGCAAACGATGGCAGATGCTAACAGCAACCACTCGCTGGTGATGTTGCCGATGGTTCTCTCATTCAAGGCTTGCTCTGAAACAAGCTGATGGAGACTTTGATTCCTTGGCATGTGCCGATATCAATTTCTCATCAGAACAAATGAACGAAAGGCAATGGGATTAGTTGCTCCACTTCTAGAATTTAACGCTCGACGTCGGCATGGCAGTCGTATCTACAAATATCAAATGAGTCAAGAGAAAACTTCAAACAACAGCTCACTGTATTTCATAACTTTACTAACTTACCTTATGTATAAATTCAGATTTCGCTAACAAAAGAAGTATCGCACGACATTATTCCGAATGTTGTGGAAGTGAGCGTCGACGAGTTCCTGAATTTTGCTAATAAATATAAAGGTGTGGAACTTTTTCATGTCGCGATTTCTTGCCGATGCAGTTCGAGGATGCTAGTTGTATAACAGATTCGGCGTGGAAGTCTGATTATTTAATACGCTTAGTAGTTGCTGCTGCTTCACCATCGTGCTTTTCCTCACCTTTAGTGCAAACAGTGCTGCTTCCGAAGTTGCATTAAGCGAGTTCTGGGCCTCTAGGTGTTCCAGTACGCTAGCAATTTCAACATTCGTTTCCTGTCTTTCTTTTTTCGTAATTCCAAACAAATATGCTTGGTGTATCTGGCATTCTCTCGGCTAAATGTGTTGCCATTCACACATCTGATCACGGCTGATGCGCCAGTGGTCCTTATAATGGCTATATATACAAATGGAGGATAGTCTTTCCTGCAGAATTTTTCAAGGGTATCATAACCCATGCGCTGATATGCTCAGCAGCATGGCAAGTGATAGCTATGAAGCGCTCAGGTGCTTGGAAATTTG